CTGGCGGGGGCGGGGGGGGAGGGAACGAGGACTGGGGGGGCGGGACCGAGGATGGGGGGGCCGGGAACGAGGACGGGGGGGGCGGGGGCGGGGGGAGCGGGGACAACGACCACGAGGGCGCGGGCGGGGGCGAGGGCGAGCAGACGGGGGTGGGCTAGGCCGGGGCGAGGGCAGGCAGGGAGGGGACGGCGCGCCGAAAAGGGGATCGAACAAGGGCATTTGCTGCCCAACGTGTGATCCTCCACCGACAGCTCGGTGAGCACTCTATCTAGTCCGATGCAATAGGCTCTAGCAGACGTGTGCGCGGTCTGACATCGGTCGAAGTTTTGCTTGCACCCCGATTTTGTGTCACTTTGCCTAGTTCATTACTGCGTTCAACCACTCCAGTCAATTTAGCGGGGTCCATGGGCAGTGACGACCGGTTGCCCAGCTCCAAGCTCGTGGGCCGTCTCAACAGGTGCCCCGGCTGCGGCATGCACGCTCACACGCACTGCCTGGTGTCAGCGTAATTTCGCTGTACACTAGCAGCAGTACGATGCTGCAGATGCCAGGAAGCTGTGTAGCCTACCTCAGAGGTTCACACTCTGTGCGGCTCCAACCGCGAGAGAATTGGAATGGAAATATGAAGATGATTTTATTCCTTGCTGACTCCCGAGTCAGATTGATGTTGCTGGCACTGAAGAGGAGTGAGAGGGGTGGCGAGCTTAGGGCTGCATCACTCTCCTCGAATACCGGACAAATAAGCCAATAACACGAAAGATCTACAATGCTTCCAGAATGATTCTAGAAGCCCTCCTACGTTCTAGAAGAGTATCAAGTGCAAGAATGCTTGCAGAAGCTTNGTGCGGCTCCAACCGCGAGAGAATTGGAATGGAAATATGAAGATGATTTTATTCCTTGCTGACTCCCGAGTCAGATTGATGTTGCTGGCACTGAAGAGGAGTGAGAGGGGTGGCGAGCTTAGGGCTGCATCACTCTCCTCGAATACCGGACAAATAAGCCAATAACACGAAAGATCTACAATGCTTCCAGAATGATTCTAGAAGCCCTCCTACGTTCTAGAAGAGTATCAAGTGCAAGAATGCTTGCAGAAGCTTACAGAAGGTTCCGGAAATTTCCAGAAGGTTTCCAGAAGCTACACACGTTCTACGTAGATGTCGCGGTCGACCTTGACCTAGCATGCTTCCGGAATATTTCTAGAACAAGAGAATACATGCCACGGATATATTGATTATTTCCTACTGCTACGCAGACTTGTTGCTGCAATCGTATTCAAAGGTCAACCCGTGTCCGACTACTGGTGGTCTCGACGCACGATTTTTCCCGACACGACCCCTCGATCAAGCAACTAATTCACAATTGTCAACCGCATCACCATGTCCATTTCTACGTCGACCCCTCCGTTGGCATCGTATCGAAAAATTAACTCCTTCTTGTATGAAGCGTATGGAAGGAAGCTTAACAGATATTCGATCAACACGACAAGTCCTTGATCTGCTGAATAATGGAGGCGAACCGGTGGGTTCCGCTCCGTATCCAGGAGTGCTCACTGGGTTGGCCTCTTGCATTCCGAACCGTTCCAGAAGTATGTTCACGTAGTGCTCTTGTGAAATGGCCGGGGTTCCTTGCTCGTATTCCCCCTCTACGTCGATCCCGAGGGTCCGCTTTACCTTTCCCATGTCGGTCATCTCGAATTGATCCGTGAGGTCCTTCTTCTTCTGGTCCACGAGCTGCTGGTCTCCTCCCGTGATGAGAATGTCGTCTACGTAGACCGTGAGAATCACGATGATGTCGCCGCTGGTATACCCGTACACACAGGGGTCGGATTGAGTCCTTTTCCATCCGGGCACCGTGAGAGAGTCGTCCAGGGTGTCGTTCCAGAGCGCAGGCGACTGCGGTAGGCCGTAGAGGCTCCGTTCTAGTTTGTACACCATGAGTTCTCCTGTCGCGGAGTTCTTGGTGGATGTGCCGGGGGCGAGTCTGACGTACACATCTCTGTCGCAGAGGGTGTTTAGGAAGGCACTGACAACGTCCAGTTGGTAGATGGGCCAGTTGTTGTGGCAACCAATGGCGCACGTCATGCGAATGCTCCCGATACGGCATACTGGTGCGTAGCTGCGTCCGTAGTCCTGTCCTGGCTCTTGACGATGTCCTTCGACTACCAGGCGAGCTTTGAAGCGTCCGTCAGTTTTTTCTTGAAGACGAATTGCGGTGCGAGGATCTTCTCTCCCTTGGTGACGCTACTGAGGGGCACCAGATTGTAGACGTTGTGTTTCCGCAGATTGTCCATTTCCTTGCTGCACGCTCCTTTCCATTCTTCGTGCTGGGGAGAGCTCATGGCTTCGTCGTAGGTGTTGGGAGTTTTGATCGCTTGATTCGTCTCCTCCAAAATCCCGTGGTCTTCGCGAGTGGTCGTGACGTAGGCGTGAGCACGCGGCACCGTGAAGGGGTCAGTATCGCCAGGGCATGGGAGCTGGGCTTGATCGGCTATCTCAGCCAGCTGAGTGAATGAAAGACCGGAAGGCTCCACGCGGGCCGTTGCAGCATGGGCTCGACCGCGGTTGTTCATGATGACTTGCAGATCGGCAGGAAACAAGTTAACGTCGATCTGATCGTCGCTGGTGGGCTTCCCGCGCGTGCTAGCTCTGGTAACTTGCAGGCGCCGCGTGCCGAAGGATCCAGCTGATGCAGAAGTGTCCGGTTCAGACGGGTTCGACGATGATGGGCTGGGGCTAGAGGCGTGGGTTTCGGATGACGATCCAGCTGGCGTCGAGGAGAGACGCGGAGATGGGGTCTCCCCGTCGCTGATATCTTGCTCGTTTTCATGTTCGTCCTCGTTCCCGTCCACTTCTAGGCGAAGCTCCTCCCGAGCGAGATTGTCTTGCTGCATCTTCCGGACTTCTTGCCGAAGGAGGTCGTTCTGCGTTGTGAAGTCCAGGTCGCTCGTCGAGTGGGGGCTGTCCAGCAGGGAGGTGAAGCTCAGCACGTCGCTCTCGTACCCGTTTGCTTGAGTGGAATGCTGGAATGGCACTGACCGGGGTGGAGATTCGATGAAAGTCACATTCCGGCTCTCGACCATGGCCCCGTTGAATGGATTGAATACCCGGTAGGTCTGGCTTTCGAGGCCGAAACCACAAAGCTTGCCTTCGAAAGCTCTGTCGTCCAGCTTCATTCGGTATCGCTCGTGGTGTCCGAAGGCGCGCGCTCCAATGACCCGAAGTCCCGAGAAATAAGGTGACTTATTGTGCAACTTCGAGGATGGCGTAGTTCCCCCAGTGCTGAGTGTGGGGACCTGTTCAACAGGTATGCAGCAGTCAGCATGAACTCCCCCCATATGGACGGCGGAAAATTTCCATCCTTCAGAAGACACCGGGTGACACCGGCCAGGGTTTGTCCGTCCCGTTCCGATACACGAATTTGTTGAGGGGTGTTGGTGGCGGCGTGTTCGAGCTTGATAGCTGAAT